GATTCCTGGTGCAGTGCTAGGTTTGTGGAGATGTTCATGTCCTGGCCCACCAAGGTTGAATGGATTTTGAACAGGCAGATATGAGGAACCTCCAGATGAGGATTGAGAGTAGGAAAGAAGAGCTGAGAGCCTAGAAACTTTTAAGAAAAAAAAAAAAAGAATAGTAGGTGTAGCTAGGCATGGTGGTGCATGCCTGAAATCCTAGCACTCTGGAGGCTGAGGCAGGAGGATCGCTGTGAATTCAAGACCAGCCTGGGCTACATAGTGAGTTCCAGGTCAGTCTCAACTACATAGTGAGACCCTGTCTTAAAAAAACAAACAAACAAAAAACAGCAGGTGAAAGAATTAGGATTTTATTCAAGAGGGATAATGACAGGGTAAGTTATGGCCATGAGGTGTGAACTCCAAAGGGAATTGGGTGTCACCATCCCTATGGCATTGCCAGTGATTGCAGTTTCTCTCTGAAGTGTCTTTGAAAAAAAAATTTTTTTAAACTAGGAATGACTTCCTTAAACTGAGTTTTAAAAAGTTCACTTCTAGTGGGCATGGTGGTGCACACTTGTCATCAAGAGGCTGAGGCAGGATTTTCGTGAGTTTAAGAGCAGCCTGGGCCATGTAGTAAGTTCAAGGTCCGCCTCAAGAGGCTGGCTCAAAAGACTAAAAAAAAAAAGTTTAGTTTTTTAGCAATTTTCAAAAATAATAGCTTTATTGTGCTCTCTTTGGCAGCACATATACTAAAAATAATAGCTTTATTGTTACAAAATTCATGTACTATGAAAGCCCCCCCCCTTTTTTTTGGTACTGGGGATCAAACTTAGGACCTTGAAGGTAGGCACTGTGCTGCTGAACTAAATTTCATGCTGCAAGTCATCCTTTTCATGGGGGATGGTGGTGCATACCTGTAATCCACGTACTCTGGGAGGCTGAGTCAGGAGGATTATAAGTTAAAGCCCAGCTTGGGCAATTTAATGACTTAGTGAGACCTTGTCTTGAATAAAAAATAAAAAGGCCAGGGGTGTAGCTCATTGCAAAGTCCCTGGGTTTAATCCTCAGTGCTGTGCCCGTGGGTTCCCCAATTTTCCTTTTTTTTTTACCCTTTCCAAATGTGCAGTGTTATGGCATTTAGTATATTCACAAGTACTACTATTGCCACTATCTCACTGTGAAACATTTTCTTTCTTTCTTTTTTCTTTTTTTTTTTGGTTTTTTGAGAATGGAACATTGGGAATCTCCTTGCCCATTCATAGTTATTCTCTGTTTTTTAATCATAGACAGCTACTAATTTGCTTTTCTGTATAGATTTGCCTATCCTGTGCATTTCACATAAATGGAATCATATAATATCTAGCCTTTTGTGCTAGCTTCTTTCACTTAACATGTCTCTAGAGTTCATCCACATAGTATATACATCTATTCTTTATTTTTATTGCTAAACACTATTCCATTGTCATGTATACTACACATTACTGATTCATCAGTTGTTGGATTTTGGGATGTTTCTCTTTTTTTTGGCTTTAGTGAACAGTACTCTGATGGGCATCTGTGCAAGTGTTTATGTACGTGTATGTTTTCACTCCTTGAATTATATCTAAGTGTGGAATTACTGAATCACATGGCAGCACTGTTTACTTTCTGATAAACTGCTGAGCTGTTTTCCAAAGTGACTCTATCATTTATAATTTCCTAGGTATATGAGGGATTCAATTTCTCTATATCCTTACCAACATTTGCTGTTCATCTTTTTTGTTTGTAGACAGGATCTCACTGTTGCCTGGCCTGACCCCAAACACTGAGGCTCAAGCCGTCCTCCTGTCTCAGACTTCTGCAAAGTTGGACCTGTAGATCTGCCAGTGTGCTTGACTTCATCTTTGTGCTTGCAGCTATGGTAGTGGATTATTCTGTAACAGCTGACAAAGTGAATTGCAGAGGAAAAAGAGCAGGCAGAGTCTAATTAGTATGTTTTGCTGTAGTCCTGACCAACAATTTAAAAAAAAAATTTTTGTTTTTTTGTTTTGTTTTTTTAGACAGGGTCTCACTTATGTGGTGAGACTGACCTGGAACTCACTATGTAGCCCAGGCTGGTCTCAAACTCACAGTGATCCTCCTGCCTCAGACTCCAGAGTGCTGGGATTACAGGCGTGTGTCACCACGCCCGGCTTTAAAAAATTTTTTGATGGTGATCTGTACTAAGAAATATATATTATATCATTACCTAGAGTTGTGTATTACCTAGTATTGTTAGTATAAAGTCTAAATTATTTTTCTTTCTTTAAAAAACTTTTTTAGTATGTGTTTACAATACATAATATTACATTCATTGTGGGGAGTTGGTACATATTAAAGTCTAAATTTTTTTTGGTGTTTTGAGACAGAGTCTCAGTATGTAGTTGAGATTGACCTGGAACTCACTGTGTAGCCCAGGCTAGTCTCGAACTCACAGTGATCCTCCTGCCTCAGCCTCCTGAGTGCTGGGATTACAGGTGTGTGCCACCACGCCCAGCTAAGTATAAATTCTTTAACACATTTACTGGGTCTTTTATGATCTGATATCAGATAAAGTGTTCACAAATTTTAAAATCCCACTTATCTTTTGTGTATCATTGTCAGTTATAGTAAAACTTCAAAGACTTCTGTATGGCTTCAATTTTTTTTTTCTTTTTTGTACTGGGGATTGAATTTGGGACCTTGTGCTTGAGAGGCAGACAGCAGAGCCAACTAAATCCCCAGCCAGCCCTGGCTTCTATTTTTTTATAATGTGTTTCTCCAGTGAACTCATGTTGTATCTAATACTAAAGATAAAATTCTATTATTCTGTGTTGTGTAACCACCAGACTGTAAGTTTGAATTCACTGTTCAGTTTACTTACTGCATCTAGCACTTAGTATGGTAGGCATTTAATATCTGTAGAAAACATGAACTACCCACCTTAAACAGGTTTACTGATTATGTCTTGAATATATCCTACATATTTCATCTTATTTTAAAAAATCACTGTCCCTCTCACTTTGTACTGCTGTAATTTTCCCACATCCTGTAGAACTAAATCCACTTCCCACTTCTATAAAAACTTCTTTAGTTACACTGCCTACTTATCTGTTCTTTTCTTTTGGTTTTTGCAACATTTAATATTTAATATCTTTACTACTCATACTCTCTTGTGTTTCCTCTTATACATATTTACCTTATCTATTCAAATCCTGTATAAGTATGTCAGTAGGCAAATACTGCTTTAGTTCTTTCTTCTGTTTCTTTTGTAATTACCTAGTTTTTAATGCAGAAAACTGCTGATGTCTTTTGGGTCTGCAAAATGTAGACATTAAGGTTTTTGTAGTAAAAGAATTTACATTTAAGTAGAAAAGATGAGAAAGGAAAACTAGCATTTATTGAGCACTTCTTATAATTAGGGCTTTATAGGCAACTTTCACACAGTTGATCTTACTGGACCATTACCAAGGGCATAGGACAAGTGCCTGAATAAGTGACAAGCTGTGTACATTGCTGTAGGATTTCATTCGTTCAACAAATATTTAAGGCATTTTGTGTGCCAGGCAGAATAGTAAGTGCCAAGAGTAGTCTTAGTTTTCATGCGATAGGCAGTTTCAGTGTAAGTTCCAAAGTAGTTGGGAATCAGTTTTTAGGCACTTGCCTCCATGTAGCTCTCAACATAGCAGAGAGTGACAAGCCAATAGGCATACAACACACTGTCCAGTACAGTATATGCTGTGATGGGAGGAGATGCACAGGTTGCTTGGAAGCTAAGAGAGAGAGCGCCTAACTCTGTCTGGAGACCTGGGAGGAACCAGTATATAGACTGAGATCAGAAGAAATAACAGGAGTTAGGCAAAGATGATGGGGAAGTGTGTTTGAGGCAGAGATAACAATAGGGTGGAAAGGTCCAGATTTGAGGTTTTCTGTTGCTAGATCATAGGTAGGACTGGAGTCAGAATGAAGTAGGAACAAGACCAGAAAAGTAAACAAGACCCTGATTATACTGAGGAATTTAGAAAATATTTATCTTTCCACAGTTAATTTAAATTCATAGACTGATAAAGGGTTGGCTCAGGTTTCTACTCTGGATTTAGTTTATGATCTTACCATGTTTTATTACATCTCTCCCCGCTGAGATGGCTCTCCCTGTGTTTCCCAGGCTGGGCTGTAGTGATCTTCCAACCTCAGCCTCTTTAAGTGCAGGGATTACAGGTGTGTGCCACTGTACCTGGCCCAGGAAGCTTCTCTTTAGTGTGAGGATTGTTAATCATTTCACAAAAATGAGGTGAAATAATATTTTTAGAAAACCCCCATAAAACCTACCTTCTGGTTTATTCATAATTATTCTTTGTGGCTATAAAACCAGATTTCCACAATGGGAGTGGTGGTACACGCCTTTAATCTCAGCACTGGGTGGAGGCAGGAGGATCCCATAAGTTTGAGGCCCCCCTGGCTACATAGTGAGACCCTGACTCAAAAAGTGAATATAAGAACACATTAAGCAAACAAGCAAACAAACAAAAAGAAGCTGATCATGGGAGTGCATGCCTACAATCCTAGCATTTGTGATGCTGAGGCAGGATGATTGCCATAATTTTGAAGCCATAAGTTTGGGGTACATAGTGAGTTCAAGGCAACACTGAACTACATAGGGAGACCCTGACTCCAAACAAGCAAATAACCAGATTTCCCAAGTGATTTTTCACTGACACTCTCGAAGTAAAAATACATGTCCCAGTGAAGACCTCTGTAGTGCTGTGCCAGTTATGATAAATAGTGCACGTGTCTGGTTTCAAAGATTACTAGGATAGTGAGTGGAAGGAGTAGTCAGAATGGACCGAAGGAAATAAACTTTTTTTTTTTGTTTTTGTTTAATCATTCTTAAAAAGGGCCATGGGGATCTAAGACAGGTTGTGACATAGTCTTGGAATCTCCAGATTTGGGTTCGCTGGCTTGCAGTATTTGTTTTGAGATTGCATATACTGAATTGTTATGTTTTCTCTTTTTTGTAGAAAGAGATTCAAGCCATGAGTCAATGCCACCATCCTAATATTGTATCTTACTATACATCTTTTGTGGTCAAAGATGAGTTATGGCTGGTCATGAAGCTGCTAAGCGGAGGCAAGTAAAATACAATAAAATATTAAGTTTTATGAGTTAAAAGTTAATAATTTTTCATTTTATCTTGATTTAATTTTATGGACATTTGCATTGGAGGAGCTACTGAGAATGCTAAGGATACTAGTATATGAGCTGAGATGTGTTGCATTTGGTTGTTAGCCTCTTAACTCTCTTCATTTAGGGTGGTTTCCTCCTTGCTTCCATTTATCCTGTAGAATGTCCCACATTCTGGGTTTCCCTGATTATTTTTTAATGTTTAATTTGCACTATAATCTCTTGCATACCTACAGTTATGTCTAAAGGCTTGATTAAATTCAAATTCAATTGTTTTGGCAGAATACTTGGTAGGTGATGCTGTGCTCTTCATATTGTATCACATCAGAAAGTATTTACTGTGTGGTTGTATCTTTATTTATTTACTTTATTTTTGGTACTGGGCATTGAACTCGGGTCCTTGCGCTTGCAAGGCAGGCCACCGAACCGCTGAGCTAAATTCCACGGCCCTTGGTTGTCTCTTTAACAGTGACATTAATCTTGTTTCCTTAAAACAGACAGGCCTCTTCACGGAAAAGTTAACTCTTACCCTTTGCAGCTAGCAAGTGGTCTGTGAGGTGATATTTTGATATTATGAGTATCCAGCTCCTCATAAGTCTTTAATGATTTTAGCATCCATTGATAGTTCTGGTTTGAATCGGTTAAGTCATCAAGTGATCTGATTGCATCATTTCTTTTATAAACAGGCATTCTGTGAAGAGGAACTTTACCTGTCAACTCTTTAAGTAGTCTGTGCTGTAGTTACTACTGAAAAGGCAGAATTAATGGTTGGTTTTTGTTTTGTTGGTTTTTTTTGTTTTTTGAGACAGGGTCTCACTATGTAGTTGAGACTGACCTGGAACTCACTACGGAGCCCAGGCTGGTCTCGAACTAACAGCGATCCTCCTGCCTTAGCCTCCCGAGTGCTGGGATTATAGGCGTGGCCACCATACCCGGCCTAATGGTTGTTTTTTAAAGAACCAATTTTCTGTTCTTTTTTTAATCTTTTTTTTCTCACTTTTTTCTTTTTTGGTACTGGGAATCGAACCCAGGCCTTGCGTTTGTGGGGCAGGCACTGCACTGCTGAGCTACATCCCTGGCCCCAATTTTCAAAGAACTTGGTGTAATCATCTTCAGTAGTAACAAATGAAACATGTTTCTCTTTTTTGTCCAGTTAGTGGGTAAGGCACTCACTGTTTTTGTGTATCATTATAGATTCAAGGTTTTTTATATATTTAGTGTCTTTCAGTCATTTATACTCTTTCACTTTTCAGGTTGTTCTGGGTTTTATTAGTGGAAGACCCATGAATATCTGCTTGTGTCCTTTTCACATAAGCCCATTGGTCTTTATTTATTTATTTATTTTGGTACCAGGGATCGAACTCGGATCCCCGAGCTTACAAAGCAGGCACCGGAACCACTGAGCTAAATCCCGGCCCAATTGGTCTTTGATTATAGCCTTGCTTTTTGATTCTCAGGTTCATATTTATTCTTCTTTCTCAAACCCAAAAGGTCATGGAGGCTATAAGCAGCCCTGCCATTTCTTTTTCTGGGGAATGATATTTAGTACAATTTAGATATTTGGGGTGCTCATGGCTACCACTACATCAGTGCTTTTAGAGCTAAAAATATAGTATATCACAAGTTATAACTTGATACTAGTACTTACAAGTCAAGATTAATAGTATACTTATAAAACCTTTCTAATATAGTTATATGTCTTTCATACAGAAAATCTTGGTCCTTAATATTAACATAATTACATATATGCTTTGTATGTAGCATAGGTGTGTGTGTGTGTGTGTGTGTGTGTGTGTGTTATTTCTACTTTAAACATAAAGTAAATGTTACTGATTGCACACAGTGGATCTATGGCACCGATCAATTGAACATTTTGTTATGGATGGTGTATGCCATGTAGTAAATTAGTCTTTTTTGCCAAGGCCTGGGTTTGAAACTTGTGGCAAGATTGGTAGGATTTGTGAGTGATGGAGCCACTTTAGCCTTCCATCCTTATGCTGCTTGATTTTTGTTAGTATCTATATTGTGTGAGAGCGTATGATTTTCCATTTTAGAACATAGAGTTACAGAAAAGAGAATCCATACTTGTTTTGCAATTTAACACTCCACTTAACAATGTACTTTCCCAGCAATGCTGTGAGAAAAAAGCATCATCGCTAGATAAAATTTCAGTTTTCCTACCGATCACATCTGTCATTGGAGAAACTGTTTCAGCTCTGAATCTTTATTCTTGTCTGTAGGGCCGGGGATTTAGCTCAGTGCTTCTGCTTCCTGCCTCATAAGCACAAGGACCAGAGTTCCATCCCTGGTACCAAAAAAAAAAAAAAAAGAATATATTCTTGTCTGTAAATAAGAAGGTCTTTCTGGGGCCGGGGATTTAGCCCAGTGTTTGTGGCATCTGCCTCACAATCTCAAGAAGGTCTTTCTGCATTTTAGAGTTGATAAGGAGCAAATAAGATGATATATATAAAGCATCTACCACTGTGCTGACATGTGATAAGTGTGCAAGAGTTTTTAGCTGTTAGTAGTAATATTCCCTTGCTATTTGATACTTTTCATTGTAGCCAGAATCACCTTTTTGTTTCAGTCCCATTTGTGGTGCACTGGGCAAACTGGATTGCTTTGTTAAAGGCCTTGTGCATATGATGTTTGTAAGCCTTGCTAACACCAGCCACCTTTCAAGATGGTGGTCAGGAATGGTTCTTTCATTGTGGACAGATTTGGGAACATTAGGTAATGCTGTATCTTTTGTTATGGATCATCCATAGCATAATTTCATTTGTTTTTAATTTACAAAAATGTATATTATAGAGTTTTTACTGTTGCAAAAAGGTCCTCTGCTGAGTGGGAATTGTTTGCATAATTCTCTCCCTATTCCTTTATGCTAGCCTTATATCTTTTCTGCTACTTCAAAATCAGGTTGACTTTTATTTTTAAAGGATTTCTAACCCTCTGTCAGTGAGTGTATGTCCTGATCACAGAAATGGCCAGTGCATTGCCTTCTAATTGTAGCTCTTGGTCCCTCTTTCTCTCTGGTCTCTTGGAGTTATGCCCAGTTTTTCCAAGCTAGCGCTCAATTAGCTGAGGATAATTATCAGGTATGCTCCCCCCCATTTGTAACTCTTATAATTATTTGTATTTTTAGGACTCAACATAATCTTTACATCTAAACTTTTAAAATGTTAAACATTTTGCATCTTTTTGGGAAATGGAATCTTGCTTTTGTTATTATAAAGTAAATAAACATTTACACTGAAAAGATATATTAAAAATATTTAGAAAACAAAAACTAGAACTAAGTTCAACTTTAATAATTAAAAAAAATAGAATCATAATTTATAGTTAACTAAAACACTGTTGATTAAATAATTACTAAATACCATTGCATTGGTGGATAAAACTGTTCCTTGTTCTCATGGACTTTATAGTAGTTATATAATTTCAAGTGTGTAGACTGATTTAAAGAAGAATCGGGTATCATGGGAACAAATTCCGTGAAAATTAAACCTTATTGAGGGAAGCTGGATACCCTGGGATTAATAGAGGCTTCCCTCAGGAGGTGATGTTCAGGCTGAGACATAGAGAATAGGTAATAGCCAGATGAAATGAGGGATGGAGACAATATCTGAGCAGGGTAGAGGACTTGTTCTAAATAGAAGACATTCTGCAGAAAAGGGTATGGAATCAGGATGGAGGAATGGTGTGTATTAAGAACTGATGGGGCCTTATAGCCAATGCAGAGAGTAAGAGGACTGTTGGATGAGGCTCATGATAATTCCTTTGAATAGTTGAAAAAATGTAAATTAGAGTTAGCACACATATTTATATGTAGGGTACTTTCTATTTTTTGTGTTACTGGGGATTTAACTCAGGACCTTGTGCTTGCCAGGCAGGCACAGCATCACTGAGCTACATCCCTGGACCTTTTGTTTTGGTTTTTGGTACTGAGGATCAAACTCAAGACCTTGCACTTGCAAAGCAGACAAGACACCACTGAGCTAAATCCCCGGCCCTGTGTAGACTACTTTCACATCAGTTGCTTCAGCCAAACTATTTAAAATAAAAGCATATTTTTGATTTAGTAACATTGCACTGATGTAGAATTTAATAAACGAATTAATAAAATGAATAGTAAATGCCACTTTTATATTTTGGTGGTGGTGCTGGTGATGGAACCCTGGGCCTTACACATGCTAGGCAAGTGCTTTACCACTGTCATTTCACCAGCCTATTACTGACACAAACTATTAGCCCAGTGGACATCATGGTTAAAATTTCCTTGAGTGTGTTAGCATTATAATCATTTCATAGCTGTTCTTTTGGAAGGCTGAGGCAGGAGAATTGCAAGTTCAAGCCGAGCCTGGGTGACTTAGTGACTCAGGGAGGACCTGTCACAAAATAAAAAACAAGAAAGAGGGCTGGGGATGTAGTGCATTGTAAAGTCCTGCAAAACAAAACCCTCTCCGCAGCCAACCCCCCACTCCCACGGTAAGTGTTGGGATTTACTAGTACTCTAATAAACGTTTAGACTGGGATATAGCTCAGTGGCACCATGCCTGCCTGGCAAGCACAAGATCCAGAGTTCAATTCCTGGTACTGGGGGTGGGGGGAGAAAAGAAAACAAGAACAGTAATAGTAAACCTTTAGAAATTAGAAGTACTTTTGCTCTAAGTAGCTATGCCTATAATTTATTAGCACTAAAATGCAGTGTAAGATTTTTTTTTAAGAAACCCAAGTAATTAAAACTTCTGAGAAGAGAAGGAAATATCAGTAGTACTAAAAGGATTAAGTATAGAAGTATAGAATTGTAATTTACATGTACTGGCCTAGACAGTGAACTATATTGTTGTTCAGGGATATTTCCTACTTCGTCATCTTCTAAGAGATAAAGACATGGCTACATCCTGGGGCATAGGCAAGACCCAGGTAAAATATCTCCTATTAAT